CAGTGGGAGCCTTTTTCCTCGGATGGTGATGGCTAGCACGAGGGGACGTAGCTTTAAATTGAGGGGTGATAGATATAGTACAGATGTCAGAGGTAGGTTCTTTACTCAGAGTAGTAAGGGCGTGGAATGCCCTGCCTGCAAAAATAGTTGACTCGCCCACTTTAAGGGCATTTAAATGGTCATTGGATAAACATATGGATGATAATGGAATAGTTTAGGTTAGATGGGCCTCAGATTGGTTTCACAGGTCGGCGCAACATCGAGGGCCGAAGGGCCTGTACTGCGCTGTAATGTTCTATGTTCTATGATATCAACATCTCCAAACTTCCAATTGGGCTAGCAGATCTAAACAGGAGGAGTTCCTTTCCCTAAACTAGGGGCACTAAGATCAAATAAATTAAAAATCAATCTTAGCTGAGATCAGCTCAGTCAGAACAGATCACGGATCAATTCTGGAACCTTTGTGGTTGAATGGTATGCAGTTATTGTACTTGCTCAGTTGATTGGACTACACACAACTGCAGACAGCTAGAGCTTGTTCGAAGTGACACAAGAAGTCTACTTGGAAACATTTAATGCCAATGCATATTTGATTAAACCCGGGTCTGCTGTCAAGAGTTTCTTTCAACAATGTATTAAATATTATTAATCACTGCCAATTGATTCTTTTTTTAAAGCACTGCAAATGAAAGATTGGATTTTGTCCAGGGGCTGATAGCTCAACTCAGGAAGTTTCCTGACCTGTTTGACAGGAAAACAAGAGATTAGGAAGTGTTGATATCCAAAAGGGGCCTAAATGTCCAACTCCAAAATCAATAAAAGCTACCGTGAAGGTGAAAACAATATGAATAAAGGCAGCATATATTACATTGAGCATCATAGCTCAGGAATTGGAGTACAAAAGTAAAGATGTGCTCTCCAATTGTATACAGCCTTGGTAAGATTATTCCTGCAATATTTTGTGTAGAGTTTTGTTGAAGAATCACATTGCACTCAAAACATTAACTGTCTCTCCAAAGATACTGCCAGACCTGCTAAGTTTCTTCAGCATTTTCTATGTTTTTTTTCAGATTTCCAGCATCCACAGTATTAAGTTTTTATTGGTGTACAGTTTGGTCTCCCTATCTACTTACCCCACTGGGAATGGAACAGAGGTTCACCCCAGACAAATCCTGGAGATGGAGGAGATTATTTTATGTGTTGCCCAGAATTTGAAGAATGAGAGGTGATCCCATTGAAATCACTGTCCACTATCTAGGGGCACCCAGCAGCTTGGCAGTCAATCACCTTATTGTCTACATTTACCTCTTTTGATTTGATAATTGGCAAAAAACGTCATAGTCAAAAATGAAATTTTTGAAGTATTGCTTCACTTTCGCATCTCTCCGAACTGACCTTACTCGAGCTGTCAGTAAGGCTACAGAGCCAGAATATTACTATCCCAATATAAATATGCACATATGCCTGTTCCGATGGTGCTGACCTATTTTCTTTTATCAAGATATCTTCTCTACTACAATAAACAACATTTGAGACAGTAGAATCTGGTTTAGCAAGACAGTCTGCATTGGGAATTTCCTGCCATTAGCCTCCACAACATTGATGGAAAAGGTGTCGGAACAGGATTTTGTGCTGTCCATCAGCGAAGGTGTTACAGGCCACTTCAGAGACAGCCCCCTCAGGAACTGGGTCAATATCTGGAATTTCCTCCCTAAAGGCATTGTGGGTCAACCTACATCACATAGACTACAGTAGTTCAAAAAGTCAGCTCTCCACCACCTTTTCCAGGGTAACTGGGAACGGGCAATAAATGCTGGCCAGCCAGCAACACCCACGTCCCATGAGTGAATTTTTAAAAATTCCCAGTGTAGCTGCGCAGTGAGCCACTGTATGCACGGTGCAGTTAGGGGACAGCATAAGCTCATGTTAGACAAGTAGTTGATGTCCATCAATTATTAATCTTTGATTTAATTGTTAAGATCAACATTGAATCAGGTTGCATATCCAAACAGCTATTATTACCTTCGTAACTCCAATGGGCAAGCATTTTACCTTGGGGAAGAAAACAGAAAAAGAATTATTGACATGTCAACAGTCGTTTACCAAGAACGATAATTTGAAGAGTAGTTACAAATAGCCATTTTTAAAATACCTATTAGCATTTAGTGGTAAAACCCATTGGGCCAAAACAGGCCATTTTACACTGTAAAACAAATGTTATTACCACCCTAGTCTTTTTTGATTATGCATTAGTTTCTTTGGGATAAACGTGTAGGGCTTGAAAAAGACCTGCTGCTGAGTGTGTGTAATTGACTCTGATCATTAAGTGCACGTTTGCTACTCTTTGTGGGATGATCCTAATGCAACAGAGTCCGAAAACAAAGAAAATTCGTTGAGGATTTCTGCTCCTTTTTACACCATTCAAACTACCTTACAGGGTAAAACATTTCTGTCATACCCCTCCATACACCATTATTTATGCAGCACGTTCAGGAGGTCTCAGAGGTCACTTACAGACTATGCAGTGAATTTTCCCATAAAATCCTCTGATCAACAGCTGCTGAAAGCGGATTTGGTTACCATATGGATTTACATTGAAGCCTCTAATCCAAAAAGGCAAAGAGAAAACAATTTTAGAAGGGTCAGTTGCTTGGAGTTATTATTGTCTCAGTGGGGTGGACCTCCCCTTCAGGCACCACTATAGGTATGGGCTTTCAATGCTTTTGTTTAAATAACCCAATTTTTGAAAGTCGTGGGAACAGGAGGTTCTCCTCTGGTATCTCACGAGTGGTGTAATGGCACTGCAGGATTTCTGACTCAAAGAATTTACCATGCAGTAATAAACGAAAGCTTTTAGGAAAATATGTTTCTGTAAATATACCACAGAACTCCAAAGTTATATTTGCTCCCTAGGTTATTTCTACTTCAAAGTCAGGAATTCAAAGTTGATGACAAAGGTCAATGTACTTCTGATTTCATTAAAGGGAATTGCAAGTTTAGGATGCTGTGGTTCCAAAAGGAATCATTTTAGGTCAGCAGAAATTCCCTTCAACTTACCTTTTATGGCTCATATGTTACATAAGTGTTAGTATTTGACAACACAGTTTTTCTTGGTGCTGTGAAAAAAATTTATACATGTGGTGTTCTTGACACCCAAGAAATCAAGATAGAAATCCATAGTTCTGAAATTCAGGTTAATTTCAGAAACATTTTGTCCTCAGCTCCAAAACTACAGGCAGGCTGCTTCTTGGTGTCCCATTACAGGTTTCTAAAATTTAACTCACAGACCTATTTTGGTCTCTGGGAGTTGTTGCAGGCTTGAGTCAGGGCTACTGCTTCCTAAGTCTGCAATGCAGCTAGGCAGATATTGTGGCCAGTGAAGTAAAAAGGCCCAATTCTATTTATTCATTCATGCTCTTCTGGACGTGTAGCTCTCATCCTCAGCCATCTCCATAATCTTTGCACCTTATTTTATTTCTGCACCTATATCTTCTTCTGTCTCCCACGGGTCCTCCACTTTCTCTTCTGTACATCCCTTGCAACCTCCATACCCACCATGCTCAGAAACAAACCTTGAAATGCTGGTGAGATGTTAGGAGAAAGGAATTAACATTCTCTTGGGGGAAAAAAAAAGTCCCTTTTACATTAAACAAACACTGCCAATGGATGTCCCATTGAAGAATTTTTAAAATCCAATTAACTCCTCTTAATTCTGTGCAAGTGAACACAAAAAGACATTGAAAAACAGCTTTAAAAAAGGAGACAGAAAATTTATTGCAAGCTCAAAGCTGTCAAACAGCTAGACCGTTTCTTTGCAGCTGAATAAACAATCCAGCTCCTGGGCAGAGTCAATTCATTAGGTTTGGAGCTGAATCAAGCATTCACAGCAAAGCCATTAGACAACTACAGGATTGTTGGTCAGTTAATGCTTTGGAGGTGGTGGTTTAGCTGCACCCTCAGTACTGTCAGGGTTAGAGTTTCACAACTCTGACTTTGTGACATAGGACAAATGTTGATACATTGGGGTCAAAAATAATTTTCAGAGGGATCCTCTTGAGATTCTTAGGGACAACCTTTTGGTATTCAAGGGTTCCTTTTTTTCCTCTAAGTAACTCATTTACTAAACACACAGTCATGTCACAACATCCCTTTATTTATCTTGACATATGGGGGCAATGGACTCATACAGAAGCAGAAATAGAAAAAAAATTCATCAATATCTTTAATAATTATAAATCCTCCATTAAACGCAAAGCCAGACACAGGAGGAAAGCATTAATTTCCTCACCAACACAGAACTTATTACAGTTGCACCAATTGAAGTTACCAACAAAAAGGTTTGTATTAAAACAAACTGATACACTTCACTAAAAATAAATCACCTGAACATCCCTTTTGGGGACTGACAACATCACAACTAATGCTTTGCATCATTTCTGCACAAAGCTGCAGGATTTTATTTATGTAGTGACTACACTTTTTACTACATCTCAGATCCTAGTTTCAGTTTTAAATTGAACAATTAACAGTGCTTTATTTCAAAGCATTGCTACTTTTTTTTCTTCAAATTATAGTTCCTGAACCTAGACAGCCTTGAGCTAGAGATTCTTACATGCATTCTCAAGGAATTTATCACTCCAGTGAAATCATGTTTTCTTGGTTCACAGTTACCCTTGGTTGCAGGAAGGCAGTATTCCCTTGTTTATGGGTTATTTGAGCCTCTTTCTCCTCACACCCATCACCGTTCCGACCCCCCCCAACCTCCCTCTAAATCCACCTTGGAGGCTTCCTGTCCTACCATTGCAGCCTCCATCCACCTTAAATCCACCAGCAAACTCCCTTGGCCAAAGCAGGCAGAACCCTCTGGACCAGAAGACTGCTCCCTGGCAGGCAGCTCCGTGGTCAACAGTCTCACCAGCCCTGGAACATGGTAGCTCTCAATACCTCACACCTCACCCATGATGGCCAGCCAGACAATTTCATCACACAAAAACCCCAACCCAAGACAACAGCACCCTCTGCCCAGCCAAAGCCTCTCCATACCCTTCCAGCACGCAATGCCAAGCCCTTAGTAATCTACTCACCATTGCCATTTAGCTTCCCAACTGTTTGCTGCTCCTCCAATCACACGCTGTTTCTCACTGTGAGCCAATCAATCGCTCAGATGGGGAGCAAAGCCGCTTGTGATTGGAGCAACAGTTGCTGGGTCTTCCACATGGAAACTTTTCTGCAATTTTGCATCCCCGGATTACTTCAGTGGCAAGTTCACCCACCAGCCCCATGACTTTGGGACACTCTGCAACTTTTTCCAGTCTGAAATTCTTGGGATTAATCATTGCAATTTTGCAAATGTATGGATGTTAGAATGCCTCACCAAAAGTTTGTGAAGCAGAAAAGAGATTACCTGCAGCATCAAGCAGTGATAAAAATACAATAAAGCAGTAATGAACATAGTTTTAGTTATCCAAATACTGAATGTTCTGCTCCCAAAAGCATGAAAACGATGCTGTACACTACCAGGGTATGCTCAAGAAATTTCTGGACATTTAATATTTCTGAGCAATTGGTTTTTGGTCTGTACAGGTTATCATGTATATATTTGACTCAAGATGCAGAGTGGCTTAGAAGGTAACTTGCAGGTAGTGGAATTCTGTTGCTCTTCTAGGTGGTAGGGGTCAGCAGGTTTTGGTCATTACCATGAAAGAAGCCTTGCCAAAGCTACAGTGATACATCTTGTATATGGTATGTACTGGTGCCACAGCATTTTGGTTTAAGGTGATGGATGGAGTGCTAATTAAACTGGGTGCTTTTCCTAGAATCATAGAATCCCTACAGTGTGGAAACAGGCCCTTCAGCCCAACAAGTCCACACCGACCCTCAGATCACCCAGACCCATCCCCGTATAACCCACCTGATCTACACATCCCTGAACACTACAGGTAATTTAGCATGGCCAATCCACCTAGCCTGCGCATCTTTAGGTTGTGGGAGGAAACTGGAGCACCCAGAGGAAACCCACACAGACACGGGGAGAATGTGCAAACTCCACACAGACAGTCGCCTGAGGGTGGAATCAAACCCGGGTCCCTGGCGCTGTGAGGCAGCAGTGGTAACCGTGCCATCAGTGAATAACACCACAGCTACCATGGTGAGATTTGAACCAATGCCCCCAGAGCTGCCTGGGCCCTCTGATTGCTAGCCTAATGACATTACTACTGCACCGCTATCAATCTACTACTGCACCGCTATCAATGGCATCAAGCTTCTTGTGTTAAAACCAAAAGAACTGCGGATGCTGTAAATCAGGAACAAAAACAAAGTTGCTGGAAAAGCTCAGCAGGTCTGGCAGCATCTGTGGAGGAGAAAACAGAGTTAACGTTTCGGGTCCGGTAACCCTTCCTCAGAATTTTAATGGCAGTCGACTCGTATTAATGGACACTTTGTTCCATTTGGATGGTGGGCATTGAAATTTCCTCATTCAGAATAGATTCTGTGGCGTTACTCCTGTCAGTGATGCTTCTAACTTTGTTACTAGTATAGTATTACTTAAGATAAATCATTGACAAATTAGAGTTGAGGAATGTAACTTAACAGGGTAGACCTTAGCACAAAAATAAGTTCTTTTGAGAGAGTGTCTCCAGGATTATCTATATTTTTTGCTGATTCACACGAAAGCAGAAGTAGAAGAATTCACCAATACCCTCAATAATTATCAACACTCCATTAAACCTGAAGCCACAACAAAACTGTTAATTTCCTATGCACCGCAGTATTTAAATTGTCACAGGACAGACATAAATCAGTATGATCCCCCCCACCTTTATTGATGCATAGTCTTACACCCAAAAGAAAATCTCCAGGCAGACGAAGTCATAGCTTACGCATATTTATCGCACATGCACAAAGCTGGAAGATTGAACCAGGTAGTTATCTACCCTTTTTATAGCTTCCTGAATGTCAATCTCAGGGTTAAATATAACAAATCAACACAGTGATTATTCCAACAGCATCCTGTACATCCTTTCCCCTATATAGTAGCTCCTGAACGTACA